TTTCCTCAAAGGTGGCTGGGGTGAATTAAAGGGAAGACAGCCTTGATGGACCAAAATGGTCTCTTGTTGCCTGTAAGTTATGTTAATTCACAAACATTGTGAAGCGTTCATGCATACTACACAGAGACAACTGTCCTGCAGTAAATTTCAAGCAATTTGTTAAACCTTCAAGTAAAATTAAGATCCCAAAGTTTAATTGTTGGACTAGCTACTGAGGCACACACAGTATTATAAATTTGGCAGTGTATAAAGTATATTTGTTAAATCAAAGTAATACATTTAGAATATAGAAATTTGGAAAATTCATTTCATTTAGGAAAAATTGTAATGTTGTGAAGTGTCAGAAAAATGGGGGAAGATTATTGATAAGAACCTCAGACCTTTGCACGAGTGCTTGGAGATTGTGAAAAGAAATGGGTTACGAGATTTATAAGTAGAAAATTTAAGTTCAAGATTAGATAGATTATTGTCATCACCAATTGTACAAAACATTACTAAGCCTCATCTGGAGTAGCATATGTTCTGTTTTTTTAATTATTATCTATAATATATTAATCTACTTTAAAAAAGTTCAGATACTGATTACTAAAAGTATTCCTGGTTTGAAAAATTTAAATTGTGGAAAAAGATTCACAGGTTAGAACTTGTTTTCTCTCAAGTGAAGAACTAGACATGACCTGATTCTGATATTAAAATAATTAAGTGCTGTAAAAAACTCCCTATGAGAAGTTGGTTGAATTGTCCAGAGCCTCACCTATGAAATGTTTGATACTGATATTAGCTCAGCTCTTGTGAACTAGGGTGGAGGCAGGAGGGACAAGCCAACAAGGTTCAGGGGCCCATGATAAAAAAAACAGAGGTTAAATCTTATCATTCATTCATTACACATATACACACTAATACTGGCATTTAGTGGACCAGTGACATATGACATTTTATTGAATTTTGTAACCTCTCCTATTTGGATCAATAGCTCAATCATTTTGTAGCTTAGTACTGGCTCTAGGGCCAGTAAGTGCAGTATTCAATGAAGTAAGCATAATGTGGAAGCTCAGGTTCAGGCCAGTTATTGGGCAATATATTGTATTGGTTTGCCAGATTCTGTTGAATAATAATATATATATATATTAAAGATTATATTTAAGTTAAACAGGTTTCTATGTTGGGTGACCATGATGGGCTGAAAACCTCCTATCACCTACTCTTTTCTTATATTCTCATTCTGTTTACATATTTAGTTATTTGGAATAAGAGCATCACAAAATGATGTACACACATGGCAGAATACATATTTTCTATTTTATTCAATTAGTGTAAAGTTCAATTAGAATGTTTCACCAGTAAACAAAAAACTACATGTTTTTATTGATCTTTTCAATAAATTTAGTATTTTAATGTTTCTTGTAGCATTAAAACAACAACTAAAATGTTAACTCTTATGGATAATATTTGGATAACTAAAATATTCTTTAACCCTCATTTATCTAATTTTCACAAAAAAGCTAGATTTGGCCACATATACCAATTGCACAAATATGTAGAAAAGGAATAATAAAAAGTATCAATATAAATAATAACTTTGACACAGGACATGACACACAATTTCAATACATTATTGAACATCAGATTTGAAGTGAAATTAGAAGAGAGGACACTGTAGAGTAACATAAAATTTAAGGACAACAAGAGACCTCTTTGTCCTTCTAGTCCATCTCATCCACTAAACTAAACTATGATAAAAAAAATTAAACTAAATCAAGGCCAGCCTTTATCAAGCTGAAAGTAACCCATTCCAAAGGTCAATGATCCTGTTAGAAAAATAAAGTTGGGTTAACTGAAGATGACTCCTACCCCGCCAAAGTTCATATATGTATCTCCTAGTTCTACCATTCTCACTATCAAGTTAAAACAAAGATGATGTGCCAACATCTTCAGTTCTCTTGACAATCTTAAAATACCTCAGTCAGATCTCAAACTCTTCTGTTTCAGGGATAAAACAATTTAGAAATATTTTAAATGTGGCCTAACCAGTGACCTACAGAATGAAATTATAATATCTTTAGCTTTTTAAAGATATAGCCTAAAATCTATTTGATGTACCAGTAGCAATAACACAATGCTTGGATGGCTTAAAAGTTTGATCAACCAGAACACCAGGAACCTTTTCATCCATAACACTGTTAAGGTTATTCCGATAAAAATTATACTTAGCTAATTAGAAACTAAGCTCTCCGAACTTTGTTTTTTATTTAAGGTCCAATTAATATTCATTTTTTCTGACAAATTAATGTTGAATTATTTTAAGAATACAATACTCATATTCAATCCATTTACTTTGATTGTGCAATTTTACACTAAATTAGGCTTACACGTGTTTGACCTGTTACAATAGTGCAAACGAACTACTTTAGTGTTCAGACACATTAGAGTAAATGTGTAGACTTATTCATTAAATGTTAAAATACAAAAGTCTGGAATGACAGATAAAGAAACAACAGTGTTAGACTGAATTACTTCAAAGTAAAATACTTAACTTCACCATTTTCTACAAAAAATATTAAATTACACTAGAAAGATAAGAAGCATCAGGCTTACTTACACCTTTAGCTCTCAATGACTCTAGTTAAACATATATATTATTCCTAACTTCTAATAAATATCATAATTCATTTTGAGTTATTTTGAAAATACAATAGTTTTCTTCGATTAATTTGCTTATTTTTGTATAATTATATACTATTTTATTGATGCTTGGTTGGCTTACATTTGTTTACCTTTTCCTATAGTATCAAAGCAACAATCACCACTTCACACATTAAAATTGTAATTCCCTATATTGAAAACTTGGTGCAAGTGATACATAATAATAATAAATAAAGTAAAACTAAAGTTAATATATAACTCGATAACACACACACACATGCATATATATGTAGTAGATTGTTCCTCACCATGCCTCCCTGTGGTCAGTGGAATTATTCAAAACTACTTAGGTTTGAGTTAAAACTAGATGAGTAACACATATATGTAGTAGATTGTTCCTCATCATGCCTTCCCGTGGTCAGTGGAATTATCCAAAAACTACTTAAGTTTGAGTTAAAACTAGAGGACTAACACATATATGTAGTAGATTGTTCCTCATCATGCCTCCCTGTGGTCAGTGGAATTATCCAAAACTACTTAGGTTTGAGTTAAAACTAGAGGACTAACACACACATATATATGTAGTAGATTGTTCCTCATCCTGCCTCCCTGTGGTCAGTGGAATTATCCAAAACTACTTAAGTGTGAGTTAAAACTAGAGGACTAACACATATATATATATATATATATGTAGTAGATTGTTCCTCATCATGCCTCCCGTGGTCAGTGGAATTATTCAAAACTACTTAAATTTGAGTTAAAAATGGAGGACTAACACACATATGTAACAGATTGTTCCTCCTGTGGTCAGTGGAATTATTCAAAACAAAAATTTATTGTTTCCAAACCATGATTTTCTCAAGTTCTATTTCAGAATGGTTTATTAAATTCTGGTTAATTTATTATAGAAATAATATTAGTATTAGAAACATATGTTCTCAGATAGGCCATTAGAAAGGTTTAGAAAAGATTTTAGCTGTGTCACACACGGAAAAGTAAAAGCTTAAACCTACCCTTTATTTTTTCAGCAAAACATCAATTACTGTTTTAGACTGTTTTAAAGTGCTTACATTCACTACTGCTATTAGCAACTCATCCCATAAGCCAATCACCTTTGAAAAATAACTTTTAACTGGAGCTCAGCCTTTCCCAAATGTTAAATCTTAAGATTATATCTTCTTGTCTTTAGAACACAGCACAAAAAAATCAGAAACTTATATCCTATGGATAGTGCTATAAACTTATGTAAAATCACTTCTTATCTTCTTCTTTCTAATAAACAAATTTTTTCCTTGGAAGCAACTTGTTTGATGTATGAAATTTATAGTATCTTCTATGAAATTTTGAATAAAATTATTTTAACAATGAGGATACCCAACTGCTGAAACAATGTAAGCAATATAATTTTGAAAATTGTATTTAATTAGCTATGCTCATTAGTAGATAGCTTGCCCTAATCAGAAGTTAACAAATTAACGTTTGAGTAGTGAAATGTTAAGGTTAGATTTATGTCTTTACAAATATGATTAATAAGTACAGATTTAGACTTAAAGTAAAAATAGACTAAGTTACAAATGTTTACACTTACAGGTTAATAAATTTGAAGAATTGTTTAATTGTATAGCACATGTTGTTACGTTGCAATCATGACTATATTGAGGTCGTAGATTGGAGTACAGAGAGTTAACCCTGATGAACTAAGCAGCCTTCTGTCCTTTGCTTGTTCAGATCCTTTTAAAGTTAGACACAACAGAGCATAGGTGATTTTGATATTTGACTTGTTTTTTGGTTTAGGCTTTAATACTTAGGAATAAAGGATGGACCAAATCACTTATGACTACATCACCTTGTTTATTATCATTTCTTTATAATAAATACCATTACTACTTATGCATATATGCTACTGAAAACTCAAATTTTAATTAAATTTATAAATGAAATACTTATTATTTACTGCTAATTTCAACATCAAGCGAGTGAAAAATTGTGCATTTAACTACGACTACCTACAACTACTAGTACTCGTTCTACGTTATATCTCCTATGCCAACTCAATATTAACCTAGCAATATTATAAGACTTAAAAATAACTGAATTAATTATTAATATTATGCGATATATCATACTAACCTATAACTACAGGCTGATTGGATAAGGCTTAAGGAAAGCCAATATTAATAATGATGTAGTTTATAAAAAATTTAAATCAGTTTAAAATACAATTATTAATTGCAACTTACTTACGCTAACAGTAACACATCTCACAAGACTAATACACTTTAAATTTATAAAGACTGCTCTTCATTGTGATTATATTACTGAAGAATTCAATAAAACATGAGTAAATTGCAAACTTAGTATTAAACAGTAAAACTATAAAATTCCTCGTAGTCGTAGTATCAACTTATAACATCAAGTTCGTAAGTTTATGAGTGAAAGACGTTTGGTGGCGCTACCTGTGGTATAGCGTAGCCACCTGTCGATATAGTGTGTTTGCTTTATTACATCTTATTAGATTACCAGAGGCTCAGCGATAAGTCTGTGGACTTATAACGCTAAACTTAGGGTTTCGAAACTCGTGGTGAGCATAGCACAGATAGCACATTGTATAGCTTTGTGCTTTACTACAAAAAAATATAAATTAAAGTGGCAAGTACTTAAACAAAGCAGACACTTTTAGAGTAACGAAATCAAGAAAACAAATAAGTTTGTTTGTTAGTCTGTTTTTGAATTTCGCGCAAAGCTACACGAGGACTATCTGCGCTAGCCGTCCCTAATTTAGCAGTGTAAGACTAGAGGGAAGGCTGCTAGTCATCACCACCCACCGCCAACTCTTGGGCTACTCTTTTACCAACGAATAGTGGGATTGACCGTCACTTATAACGTCCCCACGGCTGAAAGGGCGAGCATGTTTGGTGTGACGGGGATTCGAACCTGCGACCCTCAGATTGTGAGTCGAGCTCCCTAACCACCTGGCCATGCCGGGTCAACAAATAAGTAAATCTTTTTACTTTGCCCAAGGTTATCAAAATCTCAAAACATATTTTTCTTCGTGCAGTTCTATATTAAAAGTTCCCTCAAGTTAATGAGAAAAAAGCGTCGAATTTAGGTAAAAGAAGATATTCTCTAACAGCGATCCCCACTTGTATGGTAAATTGTTTTGTTTAAAATGAGTATCATTTGCTTTTACTGATTTACATTAACATTATTGATAGAGTTATAATTAATAAATTATTAAAGTTTTCTAACAACGTTTTCTAACAAGTTTTCTCTTGGTTTTATCTAGCTGTACAGATCGATTAGTAAGTTGAACAAATGCTTGACAAATGATCTTTAATTATAGTAAATGCGCGGTAACGCAATTACTAATAGAATTTTAAAAAGTATTCAAGACATATTGAGTACAAGACAAAAGTATTATTTTCTATTTGCATGTATATAAATTATTGGTTAGGCATCACTTGTAGTATTGTGTACAGATTTGATCTCCATAGGCAGCAGAATAGGGGAGGTACTGGGGGCACAGGTCCCCAATTTTGCCCCGGTAGTGAAGTATGTATTTGAATGGGAAATAAAGACTTGCTTTAACTATTATGGAAAGTCACTATTTCAGTTTTGAATTCAATGGTCACGGTTAACATGGCAAATAAGTTGCCCCAATCGTTGGTGCTCCTCCCCCAAATTCAAATATGTTCCGCCACCTATTTTGGTCTCCTTATCTAAGAATGAACATTCACTTATTGGAAATAGCTCAAAAGAGGGCTACTAAAATTATTTCATAAAGATACTCAACAACAAGTTCATAGAGGGATGTCAAGTTAAATCGTGAACTGCAGAAGAGGAAGAAATAAGCGGCAGACCCAGCTCTTGTGCAGCAGATACGATAGCCATTATGGTTCTGTATGGAATAATGGGGCTTCTTTAGCTTAGCTGTCATGGCTGCATCTCAAATTCAGCTAGTTGGACTTCCAAAGGTGCCAAGATTGTAAAGAAAGGAGCGACGGTTTCAAATGTGGCTTACCTAGGCACTGGGTTTACAAATGTTCATATTCTTTCACCAGACAGGACCCATGGATGGAACACATGCAGAACGGCCAATGATGAGTTGTGACTGGAACTACTTCAGCTAACTTAAAGTAGCAAGGACTGAGTTGAATCTAGCCCCCATTTTGGGCAAGTGCTGTTATTTATACATGGATGCGAAGTTGAGTTTTAATGGATACTGGAGCAGCCAGAACCTTACTCGATCCAGCTGTGTGAAAAATGTCACTTTAGCCATTCAGCACAAATTTTATTCTGGTAAATGGGAACAAACTAGACATGAGTGGAGATTAATTTCCAAAGTTGTCTTATGAACATTGCATAGCAAGCAAAAGTAGGTTTTTCTGGGTTCAGGCATTGATATGTTATGGATAGACTTAATGCAGAAATTGTTAGCCAGTTTTGTATGTGCGATAAGTGAACTTCAGTTTTGGAACAGATTAGGCCTGACAACAGTGGACTGTGTGCATGCACGTTAAAAAGGATGTGGTAATTCTGTCATATGTGCAAGCAGTATTCCGTGGCTGGGATGACAGGACTGACAAACAATATATACTGTTCAAGCATGGGTGTTGTACCAATGCTATTCTATAACTACAAACATTTGACTGGTAAATTCCTAAATGGAATGGCCATTGTAAAAGTAACAGAGGCAGAAGTGACACATACTAACCAAGAAGCTAGTGTTACATACACAGTATCACATTCGAGAATGAACGTGCAACTTCCATGTTATTTGAAGTTTAGTTGAGGATTGTGCTAACAAGCTGAACTCAACACAGAAACACGAATTTGATGAATCGATAAGGGTATTTGCTAATATACTTCTGGGACAGAATGGCTGTTTGGGCCAAACAAGGGTCACGTATAATCATATGTATACAAGTAACACGTGTTCAATAAAACAATCATAATGTAGGGTTTCTTTGAGCACCAGAGAATCATCCAGCACTGAAACTGAAAATATGTTGTTTAATAGAGTAATAAAACCTTCAAGAAATGCTTGGTCAGCTCCAATGTTAACCATCTGGAACAAGGATGGAATGCCAATGTTCTATGTGGATTTCAAGCAAATTTCCTTTATTAGATACTGTCAAGTCGAATTGGATCATGAAAATAGACCTAAGTTTGCTTTCAGCATTCAAAAAAGGATTGTATGAATTTTGCATCATATCATTCAGTTTATATAATGTATCTTCTACTTTTGAGAAGCTGATAGAGTTTATATTTGATGTAATGGAAGTAAGATCTCGTATATATGTGGATGACATTCTCACTTTGGTAGGATCTTTCGAACTACTGCTGAGAAATTGAGAATAGTGTTCCATGGAATCAAGGATGTAGGCTTGAAATTGAAACATGGAAAATGTGTACTTGTATGCATTGAAATATAGTGTCTCGATCTCATAGCCAGTAGAGCTCCATCGCTTTCTGCTCTGACTAAAGTTGATGTGCACTTCATATGGACATTATGGAGCCAAAGAAAAAAGCTGTTTTCAGTTGTACTATTTGTCAAAAATTACTGTCACTACTTGTATGGTAGAGAGTTCTTCATTCGAGTGTACCATGCATCAAGGAAATGGTTAATGAACTTTAAAAAACTTGTAATGTATGATTGTGTGTTAGATAACCATGCTGCCAAAGTACAGTTTCGTTGTACAATACTGCCCAAGTCACTAGCAAAGAAATACTGGTGTATTATCTTGACAATAGATGATATAGTGTTCGTTCATTGAATGTTCTGATTCTGGACACTATGAAGAAGCTAGAACCGTTACAATCGCAGTGATGACAAACTATATTAGTAGTGACAATTCTTTATTGAGCTGGACACTACTTATGATCATTCAGAAATTGAGGGAAAAGCAGCTGAAGGACTCAGACCTAAAAGCACTACTTGTCATACAACGAGATAGTGCACACACATCACACTGTTGAACATAGTAACGATGTGTGAAATATCTAAAATGAACATAGTCAGTATAGTTATGCGCAGGATGGCACGTTGTACTGTCATTATGAACTCTGAGACCTGACAGTTGACCTATGATTCAGTTGTTAGTTCCCAGAGTTCTAAGTCAAGAAATATTGGCCACCAGGAAGTATCATACATTAATTCAAACATGCAAAGCAGTTTTTCTGGCTGCATATACATCAAGACATCGAGTGATGATGTAGACATTGTACCACAAATGCTATTTAGAAGAAAAACTGGCAATATCAATGAAATCCCATCAGAGTTATGGGTTTTCCTCCCGAGAGAATCACCCTGAATATTGCTACTCCACTGCTCAAAACTGATAAGTGGTAAGCGATATGTGCTTGTCGTTATTGAATACGTCACCAAGAGACTGAAACATATCAGTTGTTTGAAACATTAGCACAGTCTGTCACTCATATGCAGTCTGAATAATGAATATCTCGCATTGGAGCACCTGAATAAAGCCACGTGTTTCAAGGAGGTAATTTATTGGCCAGTTGGTTGCAGAATTGTGCTTGCTAAGTTTTTTAATCACAACTGAACTTATTGGGATGAGTAGCTACCTTGTGCAATGATGGTGTACCACACAAACAAACAACAAGTGACTGATTATTCTACAAACTTCCTGATTGAACTCATTGGCTAGTGACTCTTTCCATGGGCCAACACAGTCAGAAATCTGGCTCAGGTAGCTGAAGATTCACTGTTCCATATGAAACAGGCACAACCACTACTAGGTCCAGGTGAAAGAATGGACCGAGGCCTAGGCCCTGATGTGAAAAGTAAGGAATAATCTTTGGGAGAGAATAGTATCACCGGGAAATGCCCCATTGAAAAACCCCAGTAACTCCTAGAAAGAAAAAAGTGACAATCTTTAGAGAACCCTGATGACCTTCTGTCACATCTCTGTAGGTTCACTTTACATAGTATAAACTTACATCCTGCCTTGTGTGTTCTTTATTCTGATTTATGTATATTTTGACCAGCTATGGCTTAGTGGTTCGCATATCATACTGTTACAGCAAAATTAAACCCCACTATTTGGAGTTGAGGGTGCGTTATAAGAGTGTTGGTCAAATCATACTATTTGATTAGAGTAGCCCAAAATTTGGCAGAGTTTGTTGTTGACTAATTGCCTTTCCCCTAGTCTGTCAGCTTAAACTTAGTGATGGCTAACAGAGATAGCCCTTGTGAAGCTTTTCATGAACACCAGAAACAAACTGCTTGTTTAATTTTATATTTTCAGTATTAATTTATATTTCTTTAATTCGGTTTTGTATTTCGTGGATTATAATTATTTGTAGTTTTATTCTATATAAAATTTTATTTTAGTTGCAGTTCGATTTCTTTTCTTTTATGTTGTGCTTATTTTGAATGCTATACTTTATTTCATTGAGAGTTTTTTAGTTACATTTCTTTCTGTATTTTATTTCGATTTGAATTTAGTTTGAGTTTATTTCATTTCTAATTTATAAGGTGTTTAGAATCTATTTTGATTTTGTAATTTATTCGAATCTTGTTTCATTCCCTACTCTGTAATATAAGTAAGACAAGTATAAAAACCCGTCAAAATGAAGGGAAATCATTGTTGAATGATTAACGAAAACTATAGAATTTAACTAAAATGAACTTGTTTGTACCTCCAAAATGTATCCATTTTTCACTTATTTCATTAGTATCGAAGTACTTGTTTAAACATCACATTTTTTAGTAAAAATTACGCAAAAAATGAAGTGTTATCGTGAACAAAATTACGAATGCACTTTGAAAGAGACTTAAATAGCACTTATGAGCCTTTTTACTGCATTATAGGTCAGGAAATAGAAAACATAGTGCGGACATTCCGACACAAATTTTTAACTCTTTCGACTGTAAAAAAGATAAAAGATATTTGGTAGTAACAAATGCTTATTTCTCTTTATGTTTTAAGGCCAAATAGATAATAGATGTGATAAAATACCAAAAGAATATTTATTAATTAACATTTATTCACTACTTAAAACGTTTAAACACTTACTCTA